TGAAACTGTCCTACCAATTTGGTTTGAAACGGTCTCATTGCTATTTGTTTCTCAATAAAATTATGGAAAAAAAAGAAATTAATGCAATGGAGACTGAGAATATAAAGAACTTATGAATCAAGTTGGTTCTCAGAATAAATAAAATAGATAAACCCCTAGCCAAGCATATTCAAAAAAGGAAAGAAAAAACTCAAATTCATACAATAAAGAATGAAAAGGGTAAAATCACTACAGATCCTGTGGAAATTCAGAAGTTCATCAATACCTACTTCTAAAATCTTGACTCTCATAGGATGGAAAACACAGAAGAAATACAGTCCTAGAATCATCAATTGCCAAAGCTGAATCAAGCTATAAAAATTCTCAATAACTCAACATTAGTTAATGAAATTAAAAATGTAATTAAAAACTTACTAACAAAGGAGGGGGCTGGTGAGATAGCTCAGCTGACTAAAGCGCCTGCTTAGGCAAGCTTAGGCAAACACAGGGACTGCAGTTTGATCCCTGGCACCACGTGGCGTGCCGGCCCTGTCCCCAGGGCAGGCTGAGCTGGTCACAGAGTCTGGGTGTAGTGGCACATACCTATAATCCCAGTGCTGGGGAGGCTGAAAACAGGAGGATCACTATGAGTTGCATAGTGAGACCCTGTAACAACCAAATAAATTTGAAAAAGAAATAAAAGCCAAGGGTCTGATGGATTCACAGCTCAGTTCTACAACGGACACTTTTTTTGGAGGGGGGAACTGAGGATTGAACTCAGACCCTTGCACTTGCCAGGGAAGTGCTTATTCTACTGAGCCACCTCCCTGCCCCCTACAACAGATTTTGAGAACGTTTAATACTAATTCTCCCCAAACTATTGCAATTTGTAGGGAAGCAATTCTCCCAAACTCATTCCAGGTGGTAAATACTAACCCTGATATCAAAACCACAGGCCCAACAACAACAACAAAAGAACTACAGGCCAATCACCCTAATGGACTAGATGCAGCAACTCAAAATGCTAGCAAATAGAATGCAGCAAAATCGTTAAGGAGGTGATACCCCATGATGAAGCGAAACCCATCCTAGCTATGTGGGGCTGGCTCAACACATGCAAATCAATAAAGTCATAGACCATATCAACAGAGCCAAAGACAAAAACTACATGATCATCTCAACAGATGCAGAAGAGGCTTTGGATAAAATCCAACACCCATTCATGATAAAAACCATACAGATAATTGGAATAGATGGTCTTTAT